CGGCAGTTCGTGGAGCTGTGACGTCACTCCGGCCGCACCCAGGGCACGCGTCACCACTGGTAGGCGCCGTCGACTGCTAGGTACGCCGCCGTCCTCCACTGGCGTTGTTGTCGTACCGACCGGCGGCGTGCCTTCGGCGTGTCGTCTGCTCTTTAAAGTCTTTCTCCCGGTGTTTGGCGCTGCCCACGCCGCTCGTCGTATTATTTCCACGTGCGCTCGGCTCGGCCGGCCCGGTGCGGCGCGGCGGCCGGGCCCCACTGTACGCGGCCCGTACCCCATCTATGGTCCCTCCAGGGTCAGTCCGCAGCTGTCTGGTGCGGGGCGTGTCCTGTCGGAGGAGCAGCCAGTCCGCCAGCCAGCCAGCCGCCTAAATGCGACGCGGAGTGATCCGCGCGAAAATGCGTCCACTGCCCACTGCTTTTTTCTCTGCGTCGGTTCCGTCTTGCAGTCACCAAATGGATTTCTCTTACCTTTTTCTTTTTTTTTGCCTTTTTTCATTTTTCTTACTTTTTCATTTTTATTACTTTTTTATTTTTCTTACTTTTTCATTTTTCTTACTTTTTCATTTTTCTCACCTTTTCGTTTTTCTTACTTTTTCATTTTTCGTACTTTTTTCATTTTCATCACATTTTCAATTTTTTTAAAACCACTTTTCATCATTGCATTTTTTTTCTTTTTTTTTCTAAAATCAACGATGACATTCTCACCATTGCACCGTGGTGGTATGGTGAATCCTTGACGGACGGCCAGTGGGTCCGTGGTGGCGCCCCGGCCTGCCCGGCACGCCGCCAAACCCGGCGCCGCCGCCGAGCTATTCGTCGCGCGCGTCGCCGTCGTCTCTGAGGTCGGGGCTCCTCTGTGACGTCACCAGACCCCGCGTGGGTGCCCCGCCCCGCCCCGCCCCGCCATTGGGATGCCGGTCGCGTCGCCGCCGGCTCCCTTTTCCGTCTCTTTAAACGTGAAAAAATAACATGAAACCGCCGCGCGGAGGATTCACCGCGACACGGAGTTAAGATAAAAACAAACTGTCCCGTTCGCACCTCTAAAATAAAAAGACACGAAAAAAAAAAATAGTCTTGATTTTATTAATGCGCGTTTAGACTACACACCGCGTGTCATCATCTGATCTACGTGACGCGAATGTTCGACGCGCGGGAGGTGTTGCGCGAGTCCGCCCGACGCATACGTAGTTGACAAACTTTATCTGACAGGGGGTCTTCGAGTCGTGCGCGGGAAAGGGTTTTTTTGGAAGACGATCGACCGCTTCATTGTCTGGCGTGCGTGTGTGTGTGTGTGCGTGGGTGTGCGTGCGGCGTGTGAGGTGTGTAGCGATGCCCGGGGCGGCCCGAGGAGGTAAGGCCCACAAGTTGAGCGACCTGGACTTGAACCGCGCCGTGACCGCCCGTACACCTTTATGACCTTCTTGGCATAAAAGTAACGTACATGGGAAATAAACAAAGGGGCCTTTTTCTCGGCGGTGACGTCACACTACCGCACTGGATGCCTTTGTGCTAATCAGACTTTGTCGGTGGCTCTGCCTTCGGCTCTGCCTTGCCCGTGGGTTTCGCTCTCGTAAATTGTTGTCCTCTTCCAACTCATTCCCGGCCGTGACGAACGAGAGTGCGACAAGGACGGCGTGCTCCGCGGGCCGCGGCCGCCTCGAGTGCGACAAAGACGGAGATAGCCGCCCACGTCCAGGCAGCGCGATCTGCATTAGCAGCCTCCGGGCCCCCCTCCCCCTCCCCTCCGTTCGGTCGGGACTTCGACAAATTTCCGCTGGCGCACACACGGGGCACGCAGCCGCCCACCTCGGCCCGGCCCGCCAGACCGCGGCGGGGATCCGCCGGTGCGTTATGAAACGTTCCAGGTTCCGCGGGTTCAATCCCCGGTGAGGTAATCTATTTTATTAACAGCTGTCAGCTGTTTTTTTTTCTCGTTTATTTTTCTTCGGAAACATGAGTAGTAGTAAACTGTGCTCTTCGCGCGTGCTGATCGCCGCCATCCTCGTATAATTGGAAAACGAAAAAAAAATTAGAAAGGATTGAACGGGACTCGAACCCGTGTCGTCGTGGTGAACGTGGGGCTCTGCTCTGCCTCTCGTGCGTTCAAGTCACCTCACGAAGAAGCTCGTTGACGAGATGCGTATCGCAGGAATACATTACCTTGTGTGCGTGTTGTGCCGTGTGTGTGTGTGTGTGTGTGTGTGTGAGCGTGTCTAGGCGTGCGGTACTGACCGTCCCACCGTCGCCAGTCGTAAATTATTTTCCACTCCTCTCCTCTGATTGGCCCGTAGCAGTGCTGATAATGGCTACGCAGATGTACTCCCTCTACTCCCCCCCTCTCTCTCTCTGCCTGTCTCTGTCTCTCCCCGGCGCTCTGTGTCTCTGTCTTCGTCGTTTATCCAACCAATTTGCCGTGTGAGCTCCGGGCTAGCAGTGGAGGCGCGAGACGCGCCCCGTGGGTCACAGTCAGTCACACAGTAGCCTCGGCCGCCTCGGCGAGTCGCCGACAGAGGTCGCGCGTCTCCCATTGGAATGGCCATCAGCCTGGGGTCGTTTTCGTCGCTCTGTCTCTCTCGCTCTCATGGGGCGTCTCCTGTAGAGGGACAGAGCGACGAAAACGACTCCCAGTCCTACTGGCGACGGGCTAAATGGCACAGCCGTGTCGTATTTTAAAAGTCGGAATCCATTTCCCCGTCGGAAGGACAAATGACATCACCGCCCGGTGCCAATTACAGACTCGCTTTTTCAAATGAAAGAGCGGCAAAAAGGAGAAAGAAAGTTACGAGCTGGTTATGGGTGTCCGTGACCAGGTTACTGCGTAGCTCCGCGGTTATGGCTCGGACGCTAGCTCGGGGTTCGAACACTCGTGAACTAATTTTTTTCCCTGGTCACCTGGGCTTCGTGCCGTCCAAGGCTGTTGTGGAGAAGCTCCTCACGCGAAGCTTGCTCAAGAACAAGGACCCGTTGTTCGTGAAGGATGAAAGACGGTCGAAATATTTCCTCCAAGTGTGTGCAAATACGGGTCCGTTTCCCCCGTTCGAGTAGTTTGATCCGCGCTGCGCTGCAAGTGCACTGCGAGTTCGCTGCTCGAGTTGCCGCCAAGTAGGTCGCGAAGGTGGCGCGGGAGTGGACCGACACAAAGAGAGAGAGAGAGAGAGAGAGAGAGAGAGAGAGAGAGAGAAGAGAGGCCTATCGAGTGATTAAGTGCTTCTTATTGCCGACTGATAGCCGTGTCGCATTAGCGATCTCTCTCGTGGCACACCACCAGTCTGACGAGGAGTTTACCGCCCCTTCAGTCGTGTGACAGCATAAATAATTCCATTTCTTTGCTATACTGTTATTATATTTTTTTCCGTCCAACGAGGTTGACACTGTCGTGCTGCATGTCGTTTTGGACGCGTGTTGGTGCGTGTTTTGGAAAGGCTCGCGGGATCATAATCTGTCACACCCGCATGCTGTCACGGGTGCAGCAGACTGCAGTTTGGTGCGAGTACTCTGGAAGAAACAACAACACAAACAACACGAAAAACCAACCAACAACTGTACTGCGCTTCGAACATTTTCAAAAACTTAGTAAGATTAGATAGTAAAATATTTTATTTTAATTTGATCCCACTTGTTTCTTTTTAATTATTATTTTTCGCGGCTGCCTTCGCGCGCGGCTTCCCTGCGTGTGTGTGCAGTGCAAGTGCACGCCGCACGCGTCTAGTTCACTCCCTTTTCGTTCGCGGGGCGACAGCCCGCTGCCACGCGGATTTAATAAAAAGAACCCTGGAGGGCTTTTCCCCCGGTTTCCTACTGCAGCGCACAGTGGGCCAGAAGACCGGTGGAGGCGTTTGCGGTACTGTACGCGTCTAGGAGGCGGCGCCCTCGGGGGGTTTGCACGTTTGCACAGCGGGTCGCTGTCCGTCTCACTAGCAGTGCGCCAGCAGCCAGGTCGCGCTGCAACTAAATCCAACGCCGCTCTTGCCGCTAAACCCGCACCGAGAGTCGATACAATCTCTGATTGAGTGGTAAAGCCCTGGCGGCAAAGGCGCATACGTCCACACACACACACACACACACACACACACACACACACACGCGCGCGCGCGCGCGCGCGCCCCTGGACGTATTTGGTCGCGGAGGGAAATCCTGTTCTACGCGTCGATGGGGGTTCTAAAACACCGCGACCCACATTGCGACCCTCCCTCGCTTCTGCGCACACTACACTTTACCAGTGTGCGTGCGTTCGGCGCGTTCGGCGACGTCGACGCCGCGACGTTCCGTCGCTCGGGTCATGTTGTCGCCGACGACAGCAAACAGTGGCGTGCCGCGCGGGCCGACGGAAGTGGCGCTGCTTGCTGCGTGCCCCGCCCCGCCGGGCCGTTCCGCCGCCACCTTATGGCCCGGATAAGCACGTTTGACAATTTGCCACGCCGAAAGTGTGGCAAGGTGCGCGTCGGGACACCGTAAAAAAAAAAAAAAAAAGGAATCCCGGAAAGTGCGTTTTGAACGGAAGCTGCATCGGTGGGAGTTTCCAGAGACCGGAAAACTCATAGAAAATGTAGACATTCGGAGGTCAAGTTCTTCCGGAAATGGCTGGGATGTTTTCAAAACAGTGAGGGGGCCGGGGTCGCGAGGCAGCGATCTTGACCCCTCCGGGACCGATTTCGAGCGAGCAGGAATCCCTGAAGGGAATCGGTTTACGAACCCCGGCGGCCTCCAGAGTCCCGCGGGATGAAGTTATCGGCGACACGACAAAGACGCATTCAAGTCGAGCGACTTGCAAATGACGGAATGGCGGCGGACGAGCTCGCTCTGTCTCTCTCGCACTCGCGGGGCGTCCGGCACGGTGCGAGAGAGACAGAGCGACTGGCAGGTGGACGGCTGGAATGCGCGGGGAGCGGCGCCGAAACGACGACAGCGCCATCTGGTGCGCGATGGAAAAAGAAACGTCAAGGATCCGGTGGGAGTCGAACCCGCGCCACTCAGACTCGTCTTTTTTCTTGTTTGCAGGATAAATGCAAGGCGACAATGACGGAGGTGGTGATCCCGGCCCAACAAGTGATCAGCGTACGGCGCTATGAGGCGGCACCCGTCTCGCCCAACTCGCAGCTGGTAAGTGTCGCGTCGCGGGTTCGATCCCCGCCGCCGGCGGGGCCATTATTTTTCCCCCTCGCTGGCAGTGCACCAGCAGAGCCCTGTCTGGGTCTAGTCTGCATCGGGCAGGTTCATTCGCATTCGCCTTGAGACATTCCGCGTCCCTACAGTGCAGTGAGCGTAGCGCGGTACCAACGGTCGGCCAGAAAAATTAAACGATTAATTTATGGCTGTGTTTTTATATCTCCAGGTCAGTTTCAAGCTAGTGTACATTTCTTATCAGCAGCATGGTCCTGCTGCTCATTTCAATAACATGCAAAGCAAAAAAAAAAAAAAAGTTGGGATTTGAACCCGGGCCGCACGCAGATAAGCGACTTCACGACTCCGCGATGACCTGACGCGTGCTCCCTCTGTGACGAGACAGGCCGATCGCCGCGGGCCGCCGTGCCAATCTATTATAATTTCGCGTGCCGTGCCGCGGGCGGGGCGGGCCGGGGCGGGGCGGGGCGGGGCGGGCGAGGAGGGGCGTGGTCGGACAGCCCAGCGAGGGGCCACGGGCCACGAGGGGTCACGCTCTCCGCCACCTCTCGGGTTGTTGTCCCCCGGGCGCCACCAGGACCTGCTCACTGTAAAACTTTCAAAACGTTTCTTTCCCGACTTTGCAAGACGCGGCACACGGACGCTTACTTCCGCATGTGTGTGTGTGTGTGACTGTGTGACTGTAAGCGTGTGACTGTGTGTGTGTGTGTGTGCGAGTGTGTTGCGCGTGCTAAGTAGCTATTGGTAGAACAGCCCGATGCACCGCCGAGGAAGTCTCTACAGTGTGTCGTCCTGCTCTTCCGCGTACTTAGCCGGTGACCGGAGGGCCGCGACGACCGGCAGGAGGAAGGCGGCGGCGGCCGCGTGATGGAACAAGGACAGAACGCCTCTTCATTTTCTTCCCTCTTTTCTTTTTTGAAGAGCAACTACTTGCCCTGGTCAAATCCGCGCAGAGAGGATAGGGTTACCGGTTCGCGGAAAGCAGACACCGCCTCCTCGGGACGGCGGCGCTATAGTCACTGTGTGTACAGTGTACAGTCATGAGGGCCGCGGACGGACACGGAGCGGCCGGAGGAAACGCGGGCAAACCCTGCGGAAAAACGATTTTTCCGCGACGAATGAATGAATGAATGAATGAATGAATGAATGAATGAATGAATGAATGAATGAATGAATGAATGAATGAATGAATGAATGAATGAATGAATGAATGAATGAATGAAAACTGCACTGTACAAAGAGTACCGAGCCAAAACTCGAATTCAACATATTTGCGGCAGTACTACTCCCAAACTACGGTGGAAAACCGCAACTACCTACACCAAAGACCTATTGAAGGAAGCACATCCAAACTGTCACGCGTTCGTCACGCGACCGCCGCCGGACCGTTGGCGTGACACTGACGCCGTGACGCGGGGACACGGTACGTGACGAAGACGGACACGGTAGCGTTAGTGATTTCCAGATAGGATGGACACGTCAAGCGGTCGTCGTCGTCCATCAAGGAGGCGCGGTCCGCGCGCTGCGTCTGTGTGTGTCTGTGTGTGTGTGTGTGTGTGTGTGTGTGTGTGTGTGTTGTGTGTGAGTGTGTGTGTGAGTCCGTCTGCGAATGAGTCACCCGGCTGGAGGATCTAGCGGCGCAGGATCGACTGCGCGGCGGTGCCGCCACCTGGCGGTGTGGCGTGCAAGCTCGCAGCGCGGGGTATCGCCGCGCGACCGGTGCTGCCCTCGCTGCCGGCGCGGCAGGACCGCCAAGCTTCGGCCGGATGCTGCGAGTTGTCCTGCCCCGCACTCCGGCATAGGCGCACCTGCACTGTAGTGCACCGGACTCTCTGCTGCTGGAGTGGCCGGATTTGGCTTCTTGGTCTTGAGGACCCTCCACTGTCTGGGACTGGGCGACACACTGAGACTCTAGTGCAGCCGCGCTGATTCAAGCCACAGCCCCCCCCCCTCTCTCTCTCTCTCTCTCTCTCTCTCTTTTTCTCTCTCGCCGTAAATCTGGCGCGTGTTTGACGTGGGAATCGCTCTGCGCGTCATGCAGGTGATATTTCACGGCTGCTTTGGGGCAGGCCGTGCCGTGTTGGCCGTGCCGTGTTGGCCGTGCCTGGCCGTGCCGTGTTGGCCGTGCCGGTCCCGCCTCTAATTTTCTTATCGATCGCTCGAGTCTTTCCCCAGGCGGCGGGGCCCGGCTCGGCCCGGCCCGTTCAAGCTCACGCGGTTTGAGAGCGTGCTCGGCGGGGCGGGGCGGGGCCCGTCGGGGCGCGGTGGCCTGACCTTGCATTGTGTGCCTGACCTCCGCACTGAACCCGGTGGGTGCGGACCTAACCTGCCGCAGTGTGCCGGCCGCCCTGGCGTCGTCCTGGCCACCGCGTCGGTGCCGCCGTCGTGGCGTCCGCCGTCGGCGATGCCGGCATGCCGACGCCATGCGCGACCTCCGCCCCGGAAGTCGCCCGCCCAGCCGCGGAGCCGGGGCGGCCGGCCCACAGTGGGCCAGAAGACCGGCGGAGGCGGCGAACTGTACCCGTCGGCGCAGAGTACCCCCGGGTACACAACGCCTAGGGCCATAGTACCCTGGGGTACATGACGACTAGGTTCAATGTACTCAGGGGCACAATTCGCCTAGGTGCCAGGTGAATTGTACCCCGGGTACAATGCGGCTAGGCGAAATGTACCCCGGGGTACATTTTGCCTAGGCTTATTGTATCCCCCGCCGGCCGGAGGAGGATGCACGTCGCCTAGGCGCAATGCATCCCCCCCGGATACAAAGAGCCTGGGCGAGGAGTATCCCCTCGGCCGGCCGGAGGGGGATACAAAAAGCCTAGGCGCAATGCATCCCCCCCCCCCGGATACAAAAATCGAAAAAAAAGAAGAAAAAAGGGGGGCCCTTCTCCCACCTCCGCACACAGGTCGGAGGGCCGCCTGCAACTTCGGTGGATCGGGGGAACCGGTGCTTTACAGGCGGCGACCCCAGGGGTTCTCGTCTGTATATGGGCCGGGCTTGAAGGGCGGGTTTGACAGTCTCTCTCTGCCTTGAGAGCCTTTGCTTTTCGCGGGGTGGTCTGTACCAAGTGTACACCCGCTGTCCGGCGCTCTCTACCAAACATACAGCTTGTTTAAGGGCCAGCTTCAAAGGACTTATCATCTCCTCCCGACGAATCAAGGAGGACCCACCCGCGACCAATTACGGGTGGCTGGATTGACGGATCGAATACTCCGTCGCTCCAGTGCCGAGGCCAACCCGCCGAAGCGCAGTTGCTTTTTAGACACCCCAGCGGAGTGGCCAGGTGAATGTGACTCTGACCACTACGCTATCAAGCTTGTACGTCTGGCGTCGTGTTGGACGACGGGTTTGAGTTGCAGTGGAAGGAAGCCAGTCGAAAAATGTAATGAAATGATGGGAGTCGATCCCAGGACCCTACTGCCGGGACCGCACGACTTTTGCCGCTCGCCCACCACGGCCCATGACGAGTGGAGCGGCGTGAGGCGGTCTCTTGACGCGACAGAAATGGACCGACCCGGTCAAAATTTCACAAGAAGTTTGGGGAGTCGAACCGCCGACCTCAGCACGGAGAAGCGACGCCTCTACTCCCTAGACCACCACGGCACATGCAGTTCGTAGGCTGAAGTCACGGTTTTCAACCACACTGGGCGAGGCAGTAAAATTAAATGTTAATGTTTGTTAGGAATCGAACCCCCGACGTGTGGGACTGTTCTACACGGCTCCGCATTGATGGCCTCGAACCGTTCCACAAAAGAAAGGAAATCGAAAAAAAAAATGAGATGCCGGTATTCGAACACCGCACTGTGCAAATGTTAGAGACGTTCGATCGCATTTGCACAGTGCGGTGTTCGAATACCGGCATGTCAATTTTTTTTTCGATTTCCTTTCTTTTGTGGAACGGTTCGAGGCTATCAGAGCGGAGTTTTGTCCGCGCTGGTCTTCTGGCCCACTGTGCGGGGATGGGAAGCGCCTGCGGGCCTGCGGGTAGGCAGTCCCGTCACACGCCGGAGCGCCGCACTGCCCGTTTGCCTACCTCGCAGGCGCTCAGTTGCGCTCGGAAAAAAAATCTCATTCAACGAACGTTAATGAAAGCAGATGATCCGTCACGTTTCACATCTGCTGTGATAGCCGAGAGGTTAGAGACGTGGGATCGAGTTACCGCAGGCCGGCGTTCGAATACCAGCGTCACACACGTTTTTTCGACTTACTATCCTAAGGGTGGTGGTTCGAGGCCATCCGAGCGGAGCCGTGTGCAACAGACTCACATGCCGGAGGTTCGACTCCTAACAAATATTTCCATTTAATTTTACTGCCTCACCCAGTGCGGTTGAAACCCGTGAACGTGAGCCTACTCCATGCATGGGACGTGGTGGTCCAGGGAGTAGAGGCGTCGGTTCCCAATGCTAGGGTCGGCGGTTCGACTCCCCCAACTTCTTGCGAAATTTTGACCGGGTCGGTCGAGTCCTGTTGCGTCAAGAACCCACCTCACGCCGATCCCCTCATCATGGGCCGTGGTGGCCGAGAGCGTAAAGTCGTGTGATCCCGGTGGCGGCGGCGGGGTCCGGGGATCGAATCCCATCATTTCGTTACATTTTTCAACTGCCTTCCTCCCACTGCAACTCAAACCCGTCGTCCAACACGCTGCCAGACGTACAAGCGTGATAGCGTAGTGGTCAGAGTCACATTCACCTGGCCACTCCGCTGTGGGTGTCTAAAAAGCAATCCGCTTCGGCGGGTTGGCCTCGGCACTGGAGCGATGGAGTATTTGATCCATCAATCCAGACCACCCGGTGTGTGGTTGCGGGTGGTGCCTCCTCGATTTGTCGGGGAGGCGATGATAAGTCCTTTGAAGCTGGCCTAAAACGCTGTATGTTCGGTACGGGAGCGCCGGACAGTGGGGGTACCATGGGGTACACAACCAACCCTACGAAAACAAAAAGCTCCCACCAAACCTCTTCTCTGTCTGAGTCTCTCTCTG